CCTAAGGTCAGAAACAGCCTGCTGGGTCGGAACGCGATACGCTGCCGACTGGGTTGCTCTTCCACAGTACGTTCGCTGAAGACAGCGACGACGGCAACGCGGACTGCACCGCGAACCGCAGCCGCCGATGCATCGTCCCATCCTCCTGGTGCCAGAGCGCTGAAGTGACGGTAGCGTGCGGTGCAGCCTCGAACCCTTCAGGTCGCCCCGTGACCATCAATGGGAGTCTAAATATTGGATACCTTAAGTCTGCCAAAGAGATAAGCTTAAGATACGTGTATTCGTATCGATTGATGTAGTGTCGTAGTGAAGTAATGTAGTGTTCATCTCATGACAGATACCAAATTTAGAATGCATGCATTGCGCCCGTCAAAAACGGATATTGTGACGAACACCCTCCGCCAGTACTTTTTCCTTTTGAATTTTTTTAATACAAAACAAAGTGGTATTGCATGCTAATGCTCATTAAAATCGGTACCAGCTTCTAAGACCTCGAACTTATTGCACACTATTTATAAATTAGCTTAATGGGGTCGTCACGGCCTTGCACATTCCCGATCGCGGGTCCCCGGCGCTTTTTTTATTAAGTCTGATAATACATATTTCTTTTGCAATCGTTACGAGTCATAGATAGCTTTCGTTATATAATCTTTTTTAATCGGTTTTCCTGAGCTAAAGTTAGGCTAGAAAGCTTAACAAAAATGTATTTATTTGTTAGTATTTATTGTATTTTTATATTATTTAGTATTTTTTGTTATACACACAATTTATGTAAAGTATTAGATAAATTATAAATCTGAAAGTACACCTGTAGACAAAGACTAATTAACAACAAAAACAAAAAGATAATATCAAAAATATCCTATACCTACTACTGGTCACAAAATTATACTAGATCGTGTTTAACAAATTTATTTCAGATTTAATTTGTTTTCATAAATTATCGTTTAATCTTGAATTATGTCTTAACGCAAAGAATCTACCATTTTTTGAATTTCTTCGATTTTTTACCTTGACTTCATCGTGTTGAGTCTGAATTATTATTGCAAATGAACTGACAATGATGTTGAAGATCATTCAAGAACCTTACGTAATTACGACTGTTTCCTTCATTGAAACTGGACATAATTATAAACATATGGCGATTATTTGTGAATATCAAAATAATATGCTTTATTTACACCGAATTGTCAAAAGGTATCAAGCAAACTATGTTAGTATACGGGATTCTACTCTAAGTATACAATAAACGTAAGCGGAAAACCGTGACGAGAGATGACCTCTGTACTTAAAAACCGGACCTTATTTTTGTCCGAGGTAACAACGGAGCGCCAAAAAATTAGAGATTCAGGATTTTGGAATGAGCTGTAGTGAAATTTTGTGACTTTTACAACATATGGGCTTGTCTTTGTGATGCGCGTCCTTACACTGCGAGCAGTAATTTATAAATACCATATATTATACATAATATAAAATGCGTACAGCTGCTTTAATCACATTTTGTCTGCACGTCACCCTGCGACCTTCAAAATATGAGGTCACACATCGCCGAAATATTATTTGAGGTAAATTTATTTATATTTGTTACTTCAATACAAAGACTAAGAGTTTCTGGTAGTACATATGTTGAATGCCATGACGGCTATGTATCCCGACAGGTGTAATTTAAAGGTTTTTTGGTATGGTAGGATCGCGGGAAGTCTAGATGCCTAGCCGCTCAGCTAGAGCGGATAAGTGAACTAGAGTTTTCAACCAGGAAAAGAATCTACGGACAAACAGTAGCCAAATAAAGCTTAATACAACGAAAATACAAAATAAAAAAATTAGATACGCACTGACTAATTACAATAGTTACAATAATAATTATTAAACGTATTACATTTTAATTAGACTAATTGGAATTACGAATTACCGTTACACAATGAGCAAACAATTTATATAATATAGCTGCATGACGGTCAGAAAGAAGCAAAAATAATCAGATCGAGGATTGCTTCACTTGAAAACGACATTAGCAAAATAAAATGAGAATATCCTCAATATAGTTAAAGTCAACGATTGGGGATAACTCAACTAGTCAAATCTTGATAAAACGGGACCACATGAGAGGTGGTACTTTCAAATAAAAAAAGAATCATTAAAATCGTTCATAAAGACAGATAAAAGTTCTGAGTTAACATACAAAAAGTCTAATTGACAACCTCTTTTTTGGGGCGGTTAAAACGTCAATAGTAGATGCTCTATCACACTAAACTTTTAGTTATGTATATTAGATTGCACGGTAATTGCTTACCATCCCCTTTTTGAAATTTAGTAAAATTTCAGTTCTGTTCCAGTGGTGAATGGAAATTAGGTTTAAGCGATATTCCGCTTAATACACGACATTGATCTGTGTAATTAAAGGTCCGTTTGACAACCTCCTTTTTTGGTCGGTTAAAACGTCAATAGTAGATGCTCTATCACACTAAACTTTTAGTTATGTATATTAAATTGCACGGTAATTGCTTACCATCCCCTTTTTGAAATTTAGTAAAATTTCAGTTCTGTTCCAGTGGTGAATGGAAATTAGGTTTAAGCGACATTTCGCTTAATACGCTACATTTATCTTTGTAATTAAAAGTCCGTTTTATTTGGTATTAGCATCAACAGTTCGATGTTTTTAACTGAACTTCACTTAAGTTTACTCCATTCAAATAGTTTTTTTGTTCTAATATTTTTTCCAAATTTTAAATGGCTCTCGTGCAAATTTGCATATATGTCGCTCATTATATAAATACTCTTTTTTTTATTGCCCTTTTAGGCAGACGAGCGCAAGGCCCGCCTGATGGTGAGTGTTTACCGTTGCCCATGGACTCCAGCAATACCAGGGGCAGAGCCAAGCCGCTGCCTACCGCTTAATACACTCCACAAGCCTCGTTTGAAGAAGGACATGTCATAGCACTCGGGAAACACCGTGGAGGAAGCTCATTCCATAGCCGGATATATTATTATGTATTTTACTCCTCGATATATGTATTTTAACTACGCAACGCTACTATTCGAATATTCTTAACCAAAACTGTCGTCCTTCCTTCAAGCTTCGTCAACTTTTCTAATGATGTCAAATTACTATCTGTTGTTCGGTAATTGCATCTTACATAATTCGGTACCAAAGTTACCTGTCATCAATCTGTCTGCAATTTGTGTGTATTGAGAGTCATATTTCAACAATCAACAACAAATTGTTGTTAATCTTCGTTGGTAACAAGTAAAATGATCATAATAAAAAAGGAAATTTGTTTCGAAAATAAGAAAATAAACACGCGTGAATAAAAAGAAATAAGATTGAAAGTGTGAAATGAGACATTTTATTTCTCGTGACTATGGTCAAGATATCAGGTCAAATACCCTTGGTTTTTAATATTATTGCATTACCATCGGTTGTTTATGTGCAAATTTTCAAGTTGCTTAGACGCCTTGAATTTAGTGAGCATTTGAAAGGTTTCGTTACACAATTAATACACGTCAAGCTATTAGAAACGTAAAGCTAAAGGATAACTGCAGCTAATTTAAGGTAATTGAAGATACGTTCCTGTAGGTAATTATTTTTTCTTGACTTGATTTTAAATTGAGTTTGCTTTTAATTAGCTCTCGTGATTCATTGCGTGCTTCTCGGGCGGCTTGTTTTTTTCCCTACCCATGCTGATATCCTTGAGAGGCTATCTCAGCTTCTCCTTGACGTGTAGGTGAGCTCACGGGGCTCAAACCGGAGGTGTTGCTAACACTGGCTCTAGCAAGAGCAGTGTTTCGCAGAATCTACTGCAGGATCGGAAACGCGACCCACTGATAAGATCCGGCGAGAATCTCAGTGGGCTGTGTGTGTGGGGGACGGGCGGCGAGTTTGAGACTAGGCTCTTACCAAACAGTTCTTATCAATACTTGTAGTTATACGATTGTGTAACGGAAATGCTTTGAGAAACGACGATACCTCGTAGCGCTCGTAGGTGATGAATAAAATGGGACCCTGTCTGTTTTTGCCCTGAAGTGACCACACGTTTGGTTTTTCAAATCGTAGTTTGAAAGTAAAAAAGAAAAGGTTTATACCACACAATGGGTTTCCTCATTTCTTAAAGTTAGCATTGGCATTCATGCTATTATGTTCGACGAGAAACTCAGTGGGCTGTGTCTATGGGTTAATTTACTCGGCGAGCCCTTCGTCGCAAGAGATGAGTTCGGCGAGGACGGTGACCAGTGCTTGAGGTACCTAAAAGCACCGTTAATGAATCAGAAGGATCCGTATTGACGTGTTTAGGGCAACGTCGACCATTCGGTCCACAGGATCGGGTATTCGGCTCTAGTAACCACTTGGTATCCGTAGCTCTGCGAGTTCCTGTATCTTTGTACCATGTTCCTGTACCCTATACAGTGGTAACTAAAGCTTAGAAATACTGCCGAACGTCGACACTATTATTCATTAAAAGAAAAAATTAACTATTGAAAATTAAAAAAAAGCAAAGTGGAAATTAAACTTTCAAACTTACGGCAGAGCGTTCTCTTATATGCTGGTTCTATGCGTTGGATATATTAAATGGCAGAAGTACACTGTTTTATAAAAAATCAGCGAAAAAATTGTAAGCTACGTCGAATTTAACAAAACGTACACTACACCGCGTATTCTGAAAAATTTACATGTATAGAAGCTACTACTATAACAAATAAAAAGTAAAAAAATCTCAATTGAAACCGTCTAAATCGAAACGAACAAAAAGCAGAGATTTATATCATTCGTTTATTAATCGTCGCATAAAAATCGTAACGTAATTTAAAATTTATTGAATTCCGACATAAAATTAAACCATGCGATCGTATTAATAAAGCGTCGCTCGAATGTAATCAGGGCATGCATTACCGCTGTTACGTTTTCAGTGTTTCTGTCACGAATATACGGCTATAAATCACGAAGGGTTGCCTTCTACCCGTCGGCTGGGAAGCAAAAGGACAGTGCAGGGCGGGCGGCCGAACCGTGCAGCCGAAAACTCGTCACAATTAATCGTTACGATATCGTAACGTGCGGAGCGGTATGATACGATTATTTGACATGCCACGTACGTGTTCGTCTTCGTATAAAACAGTGTACTTTTGAGAATTGTATTTATGAATACAACTTCGGTGAGTTTATTTGTGTTTTGTTTGTTTGTAAAGCAGAATTAAGTATTGTTTTGTTGTTTTCATACAGATTTAGTAAGCGGGATCAAATCTCACGAAGTTTAAATTCGATGCCTCCAATGAACACTACTCTAACTCAAAATTTTGAAATTTTTGTCTTCCACGCAAATCGTTTCACTATGTTAAAAGTATTACAATTAATCATTATTGATGGGGTTCGAAGCAAGAGTAAATCAGCTAGTTACACAAAAAAACCGTAAATATATCTGCAAGAATAAAGATTCTATCAACTTTTTTCGTTTAAACGCTCCTCCTGTAAATCTACGAATTTGGAGTTAGCGTAGTGTTCATGTGAGGCATCGAACTATTCATTAAAAAAATCTAGCTCAATAGTGGAGAAGATGAGAAGAAGATGACAATAATTATAAACGACAACTGAGGCATGTTTTCCAAGAGTAAATCCCACCTTTTACATACTTCTCATTTCAAGATTTATTGTTTGATTTTTTGCATCAGCATAGAATGGCAGATAAGTTGACGGCTATTTTTCAGATCTGATCTGGTTACAGGTATGCATAATAAAGTGAACAACGCCGTCTGTCTTGAGATATGAGATCGAAATTCCAATGACATCGTGCTGTTTATTTTCGACGAATATCAATATGCTTAAATCAAAAGGATCGTGAAAATAAAAGAGTTTATTTTGATCTTCATTCAAAAGTAATTTTAGGCTTAGCTCTCAAAATGGAGGGAACTTCTGAAGGTGATGAGCCGTTTATCTACCGCCTGAATGATAATGGAACTGGACCGAACCTCGTAGTAAAGGTGAGATCAACCACGTGTTCTCCATCTACTGTATTTGAAGATTTGGTGCTTCTATTAAAATGAGCAGTTAAAAAATGTGGCAGGTTACTTTTTTTAAAGTAATACTTGCCTAATGGGTATTTCGCATTTTGTGTAATCAACATTATAAGCAACAAAAAAAGTATAAATTTAGGTAGCGTCGCCCAGTTTGGCATCATTACAGGTCTTGATACTAGATTTTGTTGCACAATTTATTTTGCTTCAATGGTTTGCTTACTGACTTACAGGCTATTGCAATAGAAGTAAGAACGTTGATAGTGAAACTAAATTTAAAACTAAGGTTTACTAGAACTCAATTTACACATTGAGTATTGGCACAAAAATAGACAAATACAATTTAATGAATGTGCATAATTATATTTTAAGTTTACCTAAATCTAAGCGAGACGCTAAAAGTAAAAAAGCTACATGAGAACATATTTCTTGGACTAGCTTATCGTATTTACTGCTACTTGACTGCTTCGGAATATTACTAAAAGCTTGCTCAATAGTTGAATGCTTAGCACCAACGTGAGGGAATTTCGAAATTAGTAGACCCCAGCTAACTGTTGCTAAATTCAGCGTTATCAGTCTTGTAGATAAACCACAAATTTATAATAATTCTACGACTTTCAATACTCACCATTCTAAATTAATTCAGTCTGAATATTCCTGTAGCTTAGATGGTCTAAGTAAGAATCGGGTGTCATTGCTTTCGTTAATGTTGTTTGGTATGCTATGTCTCGGTCTTCCTGGTACTTATGATACAGAAGAAAATCTCAGTTTGAGATGACTCTGAGACGTAATAAAATAGTACAGGGCTTCGTGACCCCAAAGAACCGAGAGGATGCTAAAGACAGTTGGAGAAGAATGTTATTGCAATGCTATTGAGATTTCTACATATTTTATGTAATACTAGCGACCCGCCCTCGCTTCGCTTCGGAAACATTAAATTTTATTATTAATAACCGAGTCTCGCGATGTTACCCGCGGTTATTGTCGTACCGCGAGAGACACCGCGGGGCGAAGCTAGTTTAAAAAAAAGTAGCCTAAGTTACTCCTTATATCATCAGCGACCTATCAGTGAAAGTCTCGTCAAAATCGATTCAGCCGTTCCAGAGATTAGCCGGAACGAACAGACAGACGGAGAGACAAAAATTGTAAAAAATATTATTTTGGTGTACGTACCGTATATAACTAGTCAGGTCATAAGTATTGTCACACAGTAAAAACTTTTCTTTTAGAATGCTGGCCACAAAAAAGTTTATTGAATTCGAATTTCGAATTGTTCATGAAAATAAACATGTATACTTTTAGAATTTTACTCATTTTTAAATATGGAGTGGACGCTTAAAGAAGACCGTGTTGCAGTTATTGCGTTGCATCGTTGCGGTTACGCGCCAATTCAAATTTTTAACATACTGAAAAATTTGAATGTAACCAAAAGATTCGTTTATCGTACCATCAAACGATACAATGAAGACTCTAGTGTAGATGACAGGNGTCCGGCGTCCCGAGGGGGAGGGTGATGGGAGAGATGTGCTCCGCACTAAACGCTTCACTTTCCCCCCTTTGCCTTGTCATGAGTTCTGTCTCATGCGAGGTTTGGACGTTGGTTGTTGAGCGACAGGAGGTTTTAGTCAGTTCGACTCTGACATACCCCGCCCAGTATCCCCAGAAAAGGGCGGAAGTCCGGCGATTTCCTCCTGACTAAAAAAAAAAAAAATGTAATAAATAGTAGCTTTCTAGAATAGATAAGTATGATAGTGGGATGCGGATATATTCTTCCCTGTTGCCTGGTAGTTACTCTTACCAATTAAGACAATTTTGTAACAGTAGCTAAATTTGATAAGGGTCACGTATTCATATCTCCCGATGAATAGCCTGAAAGGTTATTATCAGCGTAGGATCTTGTAATCAGCTCTTTTTTTTATTGCCCTTGTTGGCATACGGCCCACCTGATGGTGAGTGGTTACCGTCTCCCATGGACTTCAGTAATGCCAGGGACAGAGCCAAGCCGTAGCCCAGCCGCTGTCTATCTATATGAATAGAAACGCTACCATACGAGATTTGGTGGGTCCAGATGTTATGATCGCATAGGATAGCTTTAGATTTAGTTTAATTTACAAATAAATATGCTGTTGATGGCTGCAGGTTTGCGCAGAACGTGGCTGGAGAATGTATCAAGGATATAACGGCAGTGAAGAGAAGTGGAATATTTGGTGGAGATCAAGCGCATTTCCCGCTGCCTGCTACAAAACCCTCGGAGATTGGCAGGTTTTATAATAACATTTTAAAAGTATTTGATTAGAAATATAATATAAAAAAAAACTATTACAGAATATTTTATTTAAGCGTGTTTTCTAAACGAAGATTATTTTTGGGAACAGTATGTTTGATTTATTGGCAAAGTAATCTACGATAGCATATACCATTTTTATTGAACAGGATAAACAATGGTATAGCCAGGTGCTAAAATAAATTTACTTCTGCAAGTGTAAGATATCCTTTAGTCAAGATCAATTGTTACATAAATGTGACTACTTTCAACTTGTTAAAGACACTCATCTATCTTATCTTAATAAACACATTTATTAGAACACAAATTAAGGGTTTTAATTTTTAAACTCTTATGCAATCACAGACAAGTATTCATACCTAAATAAATGAACTGGAAACTGTGGCTTTAAGCGGTTATTTTAACAGTTTTCCCATTAGTTTGAAGTAGGAAGTTATTGTAAGAGGTCACAGCTCAAATACTGTCTGCGGCTCAAAGCTTTTCTGAACATTCTTTTGAAAAAGAACAACTAAAGGCGATCTCGATGCCTTTTTATTGATTATAACTTTCAAAAAGCTGCGTTAATAACGTAAATGTCGCTTCCCTTCTTAAGATCCCCCTTCCCTCTCCCTTCTTAAAGACTTAATTGCTTTTATAAAATTGCTCTTTGATATTGTCTTTGTTGTTTCCAACTGTTTCTACCTCACGCCGCCGAAGTTGAACTTATCAACTACTTGCAGTTACTGAGTTCACCCATAGTGTGTTTGTCGTATTTTGCGACAAAATAACCGCTTCTTGAATAAGCTGCTTTTCCTCGTGCTCATGAATATTTAATGTATTATGTTTTTTCATTATTATTCTTCAAGAATATATTTAAACTATTTTAGCGGATCTCTCTCAATAATCTTAATAGTACACTGCAAAATACCTGACATTTTTTGAGAATTTTCTTACATGAACTCGGTTATCTGGAACAGATCGCTTTTACCTGCCTACCAGTTGACTTACTTTCAATGTTAATTGCTGTAATAATATACTCTCTCTGTAATAATAAAGTATACTCTCTCTTTCTCTCTCTCTCTACTTCTCTTTCTCACTGAGCACAAAAGATAGCTACGTGGTTTGCGGTCGAATATAATTTGAAATATAATACACATAGTCTATATCCTATGGTGGTAACCCTTTTTAAATGAACCTGCTTGATTCTTAACTACAGTTTAATTTGTTTTCAGTTTATGAACCACATACCGAAGGGCGGTTCAATTTGTCGGAAAGATAATCTGTCTAGACTGCTTCGTTGTATGCGAAGAATATACGGAACCATTTATGATTTTACGTGAGTACATTATAATATAGTTCCCTTTAAAATGATTTCATTTGATAGTCATAGAACCAGAGGATTTAATCAAAAGGTGGTAAAGGATGTAACCTGTAATAAAGGCAATTTTTTTTTGACAAGAGGGTGATCTTACATTCCATCTGGTGCTAAACGGTTACCGGAGTCCACGCCGCCCACCTTGAGACATGAGAATAGAAACATGATAGCGAAATCTCAACCAACATACCAATCTAGCCATGCGGTGTCTAGAAATTACGTAAAGTTATAAATTTTATGTATTACATGATTGATCGTTACATGATTAGATTGCTTCGTTTTCATATTGTATTTATAATCTATATATATATAAATGAATTGCTGTCCGTTAGTCTCGCTAAAACTCGAGAGCCGATTTGGCTAATTTTGGTCTTGAATTACTTGTGGAAGTCCAGAGAAGGTTTAAAAGATAGATAAATATGAAAATGCTCGGAATTAAATAAAAATAACAAATTTGTTTTTTCCTTTGATGTGTCCCCCCCGTCGGACGAATTCCTTTTGTTTGTTTTAAGTTTATTTTATACAAAAGTTTAGGTCTTATAATTATCGATTGAGGCACTACGAAGTCTGCCGGGTCAGCTAGTAATTTAATAAATTGCAGTTTTATGTACGTCGAAGCATAAAACGTATTTTGTCTTATTTTGTTATCATCACACATCATAGGGGAAAGCGGAAGGTTGAATACCAGATTTCAGTGTTTTCTTCATTGAATCAATTAGTATTGTCGATTTACTATCGTATTGTGAACGCGCAGGATACCGAACCGTCTCGTGACAGCGCGCCGTTTTAGTCTACCCTAAACCCAATTAGTGCAATGTTGCCCACATTAATTAATTATTTAACGTGACTTGACGTTACGGAAGGCATAAAGAAGGTTAGGCAATAATTAAGGGAATATTGTGCTCAATTAGCGTTTTTAATAAATGTTGTACCTTTATTTTGTTTCATATTATAATAAATAAAAAATGCATTTGATTTGCGTAGAAAGTTATTAAAGAAAAGTAAATAGAAAAAAAAAANTGCAATGTTGCCCACATTAATTAATTATTTAACGTGACTTGACGTTACGGAAGGCATAAAGAAGGTTAGGCAATAATTAAGGGAATATTGTGCTCAATTAGCGTTTTTAATAAATGTTGTACCTTTATTTTGTTTCATATTATAATAAATAAAAAATGCATTTGATTTGCGTAGAAAGTTATTAAAGAAAAGTAAATAGAAAAAAAAAATGTGCTTTTTAGGTTGCGCAGTCAATCTCGCCAAAAGGCATAAAATAAGCATTTAGGTTTTATTTTGTTGACGCCCTATATAAAAGTTGTTTTGCTCTAAGCCCAGTAGCACTATATTGGTTTATTATTACCCAAAAACATACATAAAAAAGGCATAATGTTTAGTTATTAAATCGATAAAAAAAATTTTTTTTTTCATTGTTTAGATGGGTGGACGAGCTCACAGTCCACCTGGTATTAAGTGGTTACTGGAGCCCATAGACATCTATAACGTAAATGCGCTACCCACCTTGAGATATAAGTTCTAAGGTCTCAAGTATAGTTACAACGGCTGCCCCACCCTTCAAACCGAAACGTATTACTGCTTCACGGCAGAAATAGGCAGGGTGGTGGTACCTACCCGTGTGTCTCACAAGAGGTCCAATCAAGAGGTAGATTAGATATATGAAGCATTTAACGGTGACTCTTTGCAGTATATTGTAAGCTTATCCTGAGGGCGATGTTATTTTTAATAGTTATTGTGTACCTGTGGGCACAAACTTGATTTGCTGTAGAACCATGTCGTACCGAGAACCACAATTGCCATCTTTTTCTATAGCTAGTGAAGTAATCACGCATTGCCGTTCAAAGGGTACAAAGCCTACTATTATTAGTGTAAAAGAAATGGGAAATCATTATTTATGTATAGAACGAGACATAAATACTTTAACTATAATCATATTTCGTCGCAAAGTCAGCGTCCTCATTCGTTCTCACGATATGATACATACTGGGCTTCAATGGATATATAATTGCGTTTGTTACGCGCTGGGGTTCGGAATAAATAAAATTCCACCGAAGTACAACTTAAAACTGTATTCAACCCTTAGAACACTTAAACACTTCACAAACACTTTAAAACACTCAACAAACACCTTAAAACTCTCATTTCGCTTGTTCCGCTTCGCTTCAGGTGATCCGTTCGCTGTTTCGCTTCGAGTAGTTCCGATTACTGACTGACTGCGTGCCATCTCTACAACGCTTTTATAGCTGATACCTAGAATAATCGAGAATATTCCACACATCTCTAGTAGTAGTTTCCGCTATCTGTCAATAGATGGCGTTGTACTTCTCGAGAGTTCTAGGCGCTACTAGATCCTTCGATATTCGTTCGACTATTCGGCGATAGATGGCGTTACTCTTACCGGCGTAACACGTTGCATTGCGTGCTGTGCAGAAAAGGATAGATAAAAAAATATTTCGTGCTCATAAATCAGAAATCCCCAAAACGACATTCAATGTTTTCCAATATTATATATTATTCCAATAGTATATTATTATTAAAAAGGGTGGGGTAGCCACGTAGGGCATTTTCGGCCAGTTGTGTCGCGAGCTTAGTACAGTATTTTGATTTTTCTTTATTAAAAAACCCGGAAAGTAACCCAAGCATTTCCATTTCCTTTTCATTAATGTTAATGAACGTTTCGTTTTACTGAAATTTCTAACAATAAAATGAAACGAAAGAAAATATTGGACACGCGAGACCACGACCGCGCCGCGCTTGTAAATTTTAATCTTGTCTCGATGGAAATTAAGTTAAGGTTATCCGTCTTGTTTACAAAACAATATTAACGAAATTTGATTTAGATTCGTCGTAAATTTTTTACATTATGATCTTTTCAATTATTCATGGCTCTTTCCGATTATAGAACTGCCGTTAATAAATTTAATGATTCTTTAGAAATGTATTTGTTTTTTACTGGTTTACGAATGATTTATTTATATTAAATAGCAATGTCGCATTATGGATTGCTGTTTCAATAGTTCTAATATATTGTTTTCTTTGTTTTATTTGGGGCATAAAATAGGAGAGAGACACGATTCATGTCTAGCGGCCTTTAAAATTTTGATTGGATTTAAAAATGAATTATATATGAACTTAACGAATATAATTAAAATATTTTGTGATCTTATCCTACACTTGGTATGGACACACAAAGCATAAATATTCTATACTATTCAGTATCATAGTTCCTATGGGCTAAGTTAGGGTTTAATGCTACATTTAGAATTAGTGAATCGAAATCTTCGACAGTCCTTCAAAGTATGATGTTTCTTTTGAGACTTACAACCTCTCGGCCACTTAGCGTTAAGTGGCTATTAAACGCTAGAGCATAGCCGGGTGCCAAATACCCTTGAAGTAAACAAAATAACAACTCAATAACCTTTATTTAAGTTCAAATGTGTTTAAAGATCTCAAAGGTCTGCAAGAGCCAATCACGTCATTACGGATCCTCCAAATCCATTAACGGTGTTTTTAGGTACCACAAGCACCGGTCACCATGCTCGTCGAACCCGTCGCTTGTGACGAAGGGCTCGACGAGCGAATTAACCCATAGACACAGCCCACTGAGTTTCTCGCCAGATCTTCTCAGTGAGTCGCGTTTCCGGTCCGATGGTAGATTCTGCGAAGTACTGCTCTTGCTAGGGCCAGTGTTAGCAACACTCCGGTTTGAGCCCCGTGAGCTCACCTACATGTTAGGTCGAAGCTGAAATAGCCTCTCAAGGCTATCAGCATAGGTAGAAAAAAAAAGAGCCAAACGAAAAAGCAGTTCGTTTACCGAAACTAATAAATAAAATTAGCTGTTAAATACAAAATACCACATCCGAAACTCCTTGTATATTCAATGTATCTAACTACGCGTAGGCTTTATATTGATATACGTTGGTTCGATTGCAAAGTGTATCAAGGAGGGGGCACAAGTCAATCGACCACGTCATCGGTTATTTGAATGAAACTACGCGCTTCATTCGCGTGTCACACGACACTAGTCTTGCATACGATATTTTTATAGCGGCATACTAAAAAAAAAGAAATTGCTCTTAAACTGCGTGTGGGTTTATGTGCTAGGCAGCGACAATTGCATTGTTAAGTGTATGAGAATAATTTTTTTTTTTAAAAACACGCTTTCTTAGATCACGCAACTAAAACTAAATAAGCAATTTCTAATTCTGGTGATCCTGTTGATGTTATTGGGCTAAAGTAATAAAATTATGGATGTGGATTTTTTTTTTTAATTAATCGGTTTTTTCTAGTTGGTCAAAATTACAATTAGATATTCTATTACAAAAAATATTCTATTACATAGGCATACTGGTGGTAGGACCTCTTGCGAGGCCGCACGGGTAGGTACCACCACCCTGCCTATTTCTTTCGTGAAGCAGTAATGCGTTTCGGTTTGAAGGGTGGGGAGCCGTTGTAGCTTGTACTTGAGATCTTAGAACTTATATCTCAAGGTAGGTAGCGCATTTATGTTGTAGATATCTATGGGCTCCAGTAACCATTTAACACCAGGTGAGCTGTGAGCTCGTCCACCCATCTAAGCAATAAAAAAAAGCTGGTCATGCTAATAAAATCGTAGTAAAAAGGTGGGATAAAATGTATAAAGGGTGAATACAAACCGCTCTTAAAAACAAAAATGGGTCGGCGATAACACCAAAATGCCAACACAAAAAAAATCTAGTCAAAATATACTCTAAGATGTATTTGCTTTGCACGTAATGTAATTTCTCCTATGATTTCTTCTTCAATCATCACTGTACATAATGAAGTAATTTATTTTTTGTAATTTAGATATCTACTGTTTTATCAGCATTATTCAGTTAATTATCAAATCATTGAAATTTGTGATCTATTAGCATTTGGGTGCACCGCAGAGCACTTTGTTTAGCTTAATTCAATTTTTTTTTTAATCCACTCCCGATCATCTGTCTTCAATTTAGGATTCTCTGGACTATGCATAGCATGCTTTATTTATTGTATTCATCAAATGNGGTAATTTAGATATCTACTGTTTTATCAGCATTATTCAGTTAATTATCAAATCATTGAAATTTGTGATCTATTAGCATTTGGGTGCACCGCAGAGCACTTTGTTTAGCTTAATTCAATTTTTTTTTTAATCCACTCCCGATCATCTGTCTTCAATTTAGGATTCTCTGGACTATGCATAGCATGCTTTATTTATTGTATTCATCAAATGGAATTTTACCGTTTTAATGATCACGATTGACTGAATCACGGGAGTATGTAGTAAATCTTGGATACTTGAAAACCTAGGAAAATATTGGTGATAAATAATCGCCATAAGCCTTTTGCAATGATTAGAGCGAAAATACTTTTTGAACTAGGAAAAAGCGTCTGCGTAGACTGATGCAAATTCTAGTTAAACACATATGTGGAGTGTAGTAGTATTTGTAGAATATTTTTCTCACGTATTGCCTATTTTAAAGAATATTCTGCAATACGAAATGCAAATTCACAAGCTTTGGATGCTTTCTTGCATAGCCACATGAATTCGTATGGGTCCCATTAGATGATGATTGTATCATTTTGTCATTGAATTCAGAGATCTAACTGTCGTAGATTTATAGGCGGTGTTAAATTACCCCTTTACAATTAGTCTGCCAAATTATACTCATGTATTCAGTATAGTAGCTATGTATCTGTATTACAGTCAATGCATTTTTTTGGTAAAACTTTCTTGCATGTCGAATTAAAATTTTAATTGAATGCAGTAGATTATAAAGGTCAAAGTTTCCTTATACTACGGTTAATATTTAGAATATTAATGAGCAGTGCTCCGCAGCAATTACCCCAAGTGGTACGGGGGCTCGCGTGACGGTCCCCAAGAAAAATAGGAAGCGGTATCATTGTTTTGTTTCAGGTTGGAAGATTAGAATTCGAACACGATGCTCGCGGTCTTTGAAATCATTCACTAAAGTTTATGTTCGGCCATTGTTTAATTGTTATAATTGTATTGTAGGCAGGCTCTGATGAGTGTTATTGGTTTTAAAAATAATACTTCGATCCACAGAAGCTGCTACAGTTATTCTGCGGATGTTTGATCGAAATTTTATATTAGACTAGCGGCCCGCTCCGGCCCCGCTCGGGTCTTTAACAAAAATTTCAACGATATTTGACGTTTTCTAATTTTTGTTTAATACAAGAACGCTTATTGCGGCATAACAACAATAGTTGGACATATGCTGTCACGACACTTTTGGTAAATAGTAATGTGTTCTACAACGTCATAGTACATTATTTTATTCTATCATCAATAGTTTTCGCAGGGCACGCGAGGTAAAGAATATTTTAGGTAGTTTTTTTACACCTTAGGTTACATTATTGGAGTTTTAGTTAGGATACCTAAATTTTTTCAAAAAATATTATAGCCTATGTCACTCAGAAATAGTGTGGCTTCCAAACAGTGAAAGAATTTTTCAAATCGGTTCAGTAGTTTCGGAGCCTATTCAATACAAACAAACAAACAAACAAATATTTACTCTTTATAATATTAAGTATAGAAGTATAGATATAGACCGGCAGATAAGTCTCTATCGCTGAGTCACGGACTCACTGGTCGTTGTTGTGCAATTTTGAAAGGAAGGTAGGAGAGGGCATCGCTTAGTCTAAGTCCATTGTGGGTTCATCAAGGAGAGAAATTCCCCGATAGTTATTATATCTATATAACTATCGGGGAATTTCTCTTCTTGATGAACCTCCCATAAGACAGTCGAGAACATCACCTTTCTTGTGGAGGGAATAGATAACTGCTGTATTCCATTCTTCCTAGTTCTACGTCTAGTCTCCAAACTAGTTCATGGAATTCTTTTTCCCAGAGTCCCAAAGTTTTTGAATAATCCACCTTGGATGTTGTCTTTCCCGGGGGTATTATTATTTTTGAATTATTGCACATTTTTCTATCCCTAAGGATTCCGTGGAGCTTTGGCTTCCTAAGCATAAGTGGCAACTGGTGTAGATTTATTTAGTAGCTCTTGGAAGTATTCTTCCTACCTTTTAATGACTTCTGTTCTGTCATTAAGCAGTTGGCCATCTTTATCTCTACAGGCTGAGGTTCTAGGTTTAAGTTTCATTCTCCCGCTGTTTACTTGCTTGTAAAACATCCTGGATTCCCACTTTGAGTAAAAAATTTTGATGCTTTTATAAAAATATTAGTATGGGCTCACACTAGTATTTACGAGTACTTTCTTTCACCTTTGGTTCTGTGACCAGAAGTAGATCAGAGCCTCTACATACCTATTCTTTCCGATCCAATCGCCTCGCTAGACAGATGGTTGTCTGAATTATTTAACCAAATTTGTAAGTTTTGTCCCAAGCAGCACACGTAGGCAAACGTTTCAACTCCATAAGAATTTGTGTTAACTTTTATGCTATCGAGAACGTTATAAATTTCGCATGCACTAAGCACACTAACAATTTTCCGTATGCAAAGAAATATAAATCACAAGTTTTTTTAAATAGAATTTTACTTACCGGAACACACAAAATTAAATGTCGTCCTTCCTAAATGTAGTACTTTAGTCTTCCATGACTATGAAAACTGTAGTTTTCCAAATGTTGAAAGTAATAAAATTTAAATAGTAAACGTGAGATTAAAAGGTTGAATTAGTTTTAATTCTTTTTAATGGGTTTAAATTGTAATATTTGTCGAAGACCCTAGAAATGCGATAATAAAATTTTACAATTTTTTTATCTTTGGTGAATGATTACGGTCCTTTATTGATTTCTGTGTTATCCACTGAAATAGGCGGCCTAATAAAGAAAGAACGTTTTGATTTTGATATTTATAATACTTGAATTTTGACTTATAGTTCTGAAAATTGCAATACGATCTGATAGTTATCTGTGTTTATTACTGAATTCCTATTACTGAATTACGCTATGTTTACCCGATTTTCAGCATGACGTTGCGTGTTCAGAACTGCTCTTCCGGCACTCGATAGCTTCAAATTTTACGCGGAAACTGATAGCGGTGCGATATGTGAATTTTATGATTCTCACAACTGAACTGTTTCAATCGAATCCGCAGTTTATCGGTTATTGTTATACTTACATGTGTGAGAGCGTAGACGTTGTGAATAATGTTGGAGTATGGCTTACCTGGATTTTCTTTTTTATTGTTTGGATGTGTGGGACATAAGTTCTCAGGTCTCAGTTTTTACAGTACAACATTCGTTAAGTACGTATTTCCTTAGAAAAATTGGTACCTGTCTGCGGGATTCGAACACCGTTGTATCTCTTGATACCACTGCACCGGGCATCTTATCATTTAGGCCACAACGACTTCCACGGTGTCAAGCTTTTTGAAGCGGCGTTAACGTATAGATAAAAAAAAAACCACTACTCTACTACGAAATTTAATTGCCTGTCGTAATTAGCTTTTTTTAGGGCATATTTAGGGTTCACTTATTCATCGCTGGACTCCTCGTTGCAGCGTCCACCTTATTGTGAGGGTCGTGACTTCTATGTAAAACTTGACTATAATCTGCCTGCATCCTCGAACTTTAGCTAGAGACATAATAAATATACAACGTGTTACGCAAAAAATGTTTCATTACCGAAATCTCTTTCCTTGGAGTTACAAAAGATTGATATATTGCCAAACTGCAAGATCACCTAAAATGATTATGTCGTTAAAGATCTTTGAATTTTGATTCCAGGCCTCCTTGCTATCATTTACCGCTCGAGTACGCTAAGCTGGTTTCCGAATGCTCAAGACTTCGTCGAGATGAAGGTGTTGCTGGGTCCAGCGTCGTTTGGATCTTCAAGCCGGTGGCACAGAGTCAAGGCAGAGGAATATTCCTGTTTCGGGTAAAGTGTTCAGAGACTCATATTTTCAATACAATATCATACGATCCTATAGGGCGCAATGTATATCCCGCATGGGTAGGTTCCACGATCCTTCTTATTTCTGCCGCGAACCAACAAATACACAGTGCGATTGAGACTTCTGCTTAAAACCAGACGGGCCATAAAAACTTTGATGTATCTTGTTGACATTTAAAAACCTGGATTCTCGGTATACTACAGCTTGCGTAACTGGATTGCCAACGTTTCCTGCCTTGCTAACGTGACTAACCTTACCGGATGCTTTTCTGTCATTGACGGCAATACAAAATGAATTTAAAAAAAAAACGTGTGGCACTCGGGGACTGCCGCGGTAAAGTTATTGCATAGCATTTTTTATCAACTTATGCAATTATAATTAGACAATAATAATTTAATATTAAAACAATAATAAAATAAGATCACACTATATTTTTATACATTAACAAAAGCAAAACATTAACTGTCCCTTTCATACTCATAAGCTAGACCGCGAGAGAGAGAGATGGGCAGACTTTTCATGATGCGCATGCAGTGCGACGTCACGCCGCGCGCTTATTTACAAACACTACACAAGCGCAATGTGTGAACGTGTTGAACGCGAACTACATGGTAGGCGGAGTGGGAGGTGTTAGGTTTTATTTTCGTTACGGATTTTCTTGATTCGGTCTCCGCGCCCAAAGCTCGCGATATAAGCTATGCAATAGCTTAAAAAGATCAAACTGTTAACATTGAGCAATCTGGAACAATGATTTTGTTGGTATCTATTTCCACTTTTAGAGCGTTTGCGAGATGAGCTGTGGTACGGCGGCGGTGGTGCAGCGATATATCGAACGGCCATTACTGATCGCCGGGTACAAGTTCGATCTCAGACTGTACGTGTGCGTGCCCAGTTACAGACCGCTTACAGCGTACCTATATGCCGAAGGACTCGCGAGATTTGGTACTTAATCTAAGCTGTTACTAAGCTAAGCCGACAAGCGGAGCAATTTACTAGTCTGTTATTATACGACAAAATTTATGTTATGAGGCATCGTGAGAAGCAAAGCAATTTATGAGACCATTTTGTGAGGCGTTACCTGGCCCTGGAATTATGTCTGAATACACGATAATTTAACTGCCTTTTTTCGTAGCTCTCATAGGTAGACGAGCAGACGATCCATCTGATGGTTAATGGTTACCGTCGCCTATGGACGTCAGCAACACCAGGGGCAGACCTAAACCGCTGCCTACCGTTAAGTGCTCTCCACAAGCCTCGTTTGAAGAAGGACATGTTATAGCGTTCAGGAAATACCGAAGAGGGTAATTCGCTCCAAAGATCTCTGGAAGCACACTGAGGATGTGCGATGATAAAAACGAGACGAATATGTTGTGACATGTCTATTTGCAAACGAGTTTTCAAATGGTTTCTAGTGGCGGACAACATCTTGGTTCTTTGTATTACTGATCGATGATCATCTAAGATCAGATTATAATATGCTCTTTGGCATTTTATGGTAAAAAAACAAACCTCGCTCTAAAGTGGAGGTGGGTTACATAAAAAACGTGTTGTTTGTATATTCCGGATCTTTATTACATTGTATAAATATTGTTTATATTCCTACGTGGATTACGTTGTCGTGGCCTGAAGGATAAGTCGTCCGGTGCATTCGTATCTTACGATGCTACGGTGTTCGAATCCCGCAGACGGGTACCAATTTTTGTAATGGAATACGTACTTATCAAATGTTCACGATTAACTTCCACGGTGAAGGAATAACATCGTGTGATAAAAATCAAACCCGCAAAATTATAATTTGCGTAATTACTGGTGGTAGTACCTCTTGTGTGTCCACACGGGTAGATACCACCACCCTGCCTATTTCAGTTGTGAAGCAGTAATGCGTTTCGGTTTGAAGGATGGGGCAGCTGTTGTAATTATACTGAGACCTTAGAACTTATATCTCAAGATGGGTGGTGATATTTACGTTTTAGACCTCAATGGGCTCCGGTAACCACTTAATACCAGGTGGTCTGAGAGTTCGTCCACTCATTTTAGCAATTAAAGAAAAGTAGGGATACCAGACAAGTTATAATATAGTGTGCTTATTGACATAGTGACATAAATGTAATTATATTAATGAGCAAACTAGTTTAAAACTTGTTATGTAATTGAGGAACCCTAATTTATCGTGTTTGCTCTCAAATTCGATAATCACCGAGTAAGGATTCAATAACTGAAACATCATTATACAAATCTGTTTAAAACTTCTGCTACGATTTGGTTTTTAGCCGTAATATGCGGTTAATTGATTGACTCGGTGTCACAATCGTTAGCGACTGCTGGGCCAAAGGTCGTGGGTTCGATTCCGACATCGGTAACCATTGTTTTCTTTCGTGCTCCATTATTTACGGCTTAAAGTAAAGCTGAAAATTATTTCCCCTATGGCATAAATGTTATCTAACGTGCTACAGCGACATTAAGCTTTAATAGAATTAATAATTTTAATTTTATTTATTTATGAATATCTTGTATTTTACAGGAACGGATAAATACACATTATCAGATATTCACAATCCGTATAGGCATCTAACGAATTCGTCATTGAATAAAACCGGACCTCGCTTCGCCGAATGTAAAGATAGGATTGGCAACGGTAATGTTTGAAGGGAATTTTTAAATTATTTTAATTTAATGTTTTCAAATTTTATGTTTTTTTTTTAAATTGGTTAGTTCAAATTAGCTGGATATTTGTAAACTCGGAGTTGGCACTTCATCAGCCCTATGTAGTTATTTGATTTAGCTTCTAGTTTGTTGTGTTATCTGTACGGAGAGTCACAGTCGCTTATTTATGTTGCAAATAAATTATGATTTTCATTTCAAATTAAAATACAATGGTTAATATTTGAGAACCAAATCACTTGTCTCAAGGTGTTATTCACGCCATCACCCTGCTTGACAGTGTTAGTTACTTAAGTGACAACACTTAAGTATCTGTTGAGGCAATTTGGTAGTATCGCTACTGGCCAAGAGATGGAGATTCTACTGTTGCTAAGCCTGGTCATAACTTAAGATTCTTAAGTCTGACTTTCGAATTATCAAGTTAAATTATATTTCAGGTTGTAAATGGACATTAAAGCAAGTACGAAGAGCATTAATAGGACGATGGGGTGCCGCAGAATGGTTGGTTTGGCAGAGGATACGAGCGCTGGTGACCCTCACTTTATTAGCGCAGGCGGCTGGTACTCCTCCAGCTAGGAACTGCTTCGAGTTCTATGGATTCGATGTCCTGCTTGATGACAGCCTGAAACCTTGGCTCTTGGAGGTATTTTTTTCTATTGCTTAAATGGGTGGACGAGCTCACAGCCCAGCCTTGGTGTTAAGTGGTTACTGGAGCCCATAGACATCTACAACGTAACTGCGTCACCCACCTTGAGATATAAGTTCTAAGGTCTCAAGTATAGTTACAACGGCTGCCCCACCCTTCAAACCGAAACGCATTACTGTTTCACGGCAGAAGTAAGCAGGGTGGTGGTACCCACCCGCGTGGACTCATAAGAGGTCCTACCATCAGTAATTACGCAAATTATAATTTAAAGGTATGAGAGCTTTTGTTATATCTTTTAGCAAGAGACTTTTATTTCATTAGCTTATATGGGCAGAAGTGCATACGGCCCCACTGGCTTTTAAATAATAGCTACAGCAGGTCGACATAAAGGCATATAAATGAAATTTAAGATGGAATCATCAATTGTATTGGCATGAAGCTTAGGTAATACCTATTTACTATAAGTTAGTTAGAGGCACAGCCGAACCGCTAACTCTTTTTCAAAATTTCTTACCAAGAATCATGGCTATTTTTTATGTATTTTAGGTCAATCTTTCACCCGCACTCGGTACCAACTGTGAAGCAGATATAATCGTGAAACAGCCGATGCTACACGAACTGTTTGATCTTCTTGGTTTGCCCATGAAACACACTGGCTTATCGCAATTACAAGGTCCACCTAATACCCAAGTTACAAGGTATGAATGTATAAACAAGTTGATAAGATACCTCTCCGAAGTTAATCCTGGCATTAAAACTTTCAAAAAAACGTAAATGAAAAAAAAAATATGAATCTTATAACTTTGCTAAATCTTAAACGAATTCGCCATGTTATTTCTCTGTATATTTTAAAATGAATTGTTTCTAGTAAAAAATATTAGTGTTTATTTATTTATTCTAATATTTCATTTTTTATGTTTAATTATTTGCACGAACCCCTCCTCGGGTGGCATTGAATAAAAATAAAAAAGGTGCACGTGCAACTTGGTGCACGTGAAAGAAGTGAAACTTCTTTTGCGGTGTGTAGTATTGTGGTTTGGTTAATTTTTCATTCTTAAATTAAATTTTTGTTGTAATAGGAAATGCTGTGTGTGAGCGAAACGATCTAGCTCGATTTGTCCTTTCCCTCTCTCCACGGTCGAGTGGTTCGCGAGACGCTCTGTCTATTTTCTCTCTCTATCGCTCTTCCTAAATTGGATCTTTTCTCTCTAGCCGTAATGAATCTGTCGCGAGTTAAATTATACCCTCAACGCGCCTAAAGAAGTTTCAATTTAAAAAGTTCTAAGGTTGCCTGCATTTATAGACTTTTTTGTCTCTAGTTACCGCTTAATGCGTTGTGAGCTTTCTTAATGGCTGATAACTTGTACCCAGCAATCAATCAAGAATTTCTTAGCTCATCTAGGAAGATCATAACCAAACCAGCCCAACGGTGACACACTATTGCTATCAGATAACATGATCACGATGATACACTATTCTAAACGGGTGAAAATTAAAATAAAAAAAATTGATTTTCTCATAAGTGCACGTTCAAAGTAATGCGGTATTAGGGTCGTATTCACATTTGGGGCCAAAAGCGTTAATGTTACTGTTAATGTTACCGTAATAATAAAATTATAAGGACAGTAAATTTGTTGCCATGACAACAGGCACGTCCTATAACTACATTTTCGTAAGCACTGCTAAATTTGAAGTTATACATTAAAAACTACCCCAAATCTCATTCGTATCACTGGTTCGGAATTCAAATTCTAACTTGTTTGCTATTTTTCCAGTAATGCGTGTTGGAATTCGGCAATTTTATTTAATCAGTATGTAATACAATAATAAAGGAACACTAAATGGATATTAGAACTTTATTAAAAACAAAATTTCCTATTTAAATTGTCATCCGTGTTGGCGTTATCAAATGCGTAAAATGAAAAATAAAAATGAATATTATATAATATTATCAATAAATAAGTGATTGGCCTGATTGTGATGAAGCATTTTTTATTCTGAGCATGCCTAAATACAAAAAAAATGGAAAATTAGAGAAAGTTTAAATTCATGAAATCGTGACTTTTTGGCCGCAAAATTGAAAACAACCCATTATGTGAAAGGCGAAAGAAGCCAGTGTGCTTAGTGCGAGTTTTTTAACGTTCTCGATAGCGTAAAAGTTATTTCATATTTGTATGGAATAGGATCGTTTGCCTACATTTGCCGCTAGGGGCGCTGTTCCAACTGCATACTAAATTGGGCTAACCTTTACGCTATCGAGAAAGTTAAAAAAGACGCACTAAGCACACATATCTATATTTCTAATAATACTTCTTGTATGGGTTTAAAAATCAGTTGTAGTTCAGAGGACGAGAGCGGTACATCAAAGCCTGTTCGGACAGGAGGCGCGCGGCGTGGACTCCGATGGAGACGACGCAGGACTTTACCTGTACATTGCGTTAACTTACAAGCCCCGACAAATGAAAAGCTAACGGTATGTTTAATTTATCTCTATATATAAAAATGAGTTGCTGTTCGTTAGTCTCGCTAAAACTCGAGAACGGCTGGAGCGATTTGGCTAATTTTGGTCTTGAAATATTTGTGGAAGTCCAGAGAAGGTTTATAAGGTAGATAAATAAGAAAATGCTCGGAGTTAAATAAAAATAACAAGTTTGTTTTTCCTTTGATTTGTCTCCCCCGTCGGACGGATTCCTTTTGTTTGTTTATTTTATAAGTTTTTTTTTATACAAAAGTTTGGGTCTTTTGTTTATCGATTGAGGCACTACGAAGTTAGCCGGGTCAGCTAGTACTTAATATTTTATTATTGGTATCAAGGTACGTAGTATTAGTATGGGTAGGTATCACCGTTTTTCGACCAGACAGATGTGTTTTCCGTTTTATGGGGTCAACTGTAGATGTCCAATTGAAAGCCTAAGCCCATGTCTCAAGGTGGGTAGCGGTGTTTGCGCTTTGATGTATTCGGACTCCGGTAACGACTTAACATTAAATTAAATTAAATATTAATTTTATCGTTAGTCGTGATATAAAGTCAGTGACACATTTTGAGCAATATCAAAAATAGCCAAAACATAATGCAAATTCTCGGCCCGTTTTAAATCTAGCAACAACTCTAGTAGAGTGCAACGAACTATTTGTTGCCTGAGGCGGCAGATGACAAGCATCACCGAAATGTCAAATTCGCAAATAAATTGAATACTATTTAATTAAATAATAAATTTAAATTTATTTCCAAATTTCAATATAGAATATTGAATTTGAATAATCGCTTGAAAGCGAAAAATTAAACAGTCAACGACGTTATTATAAAGGATAGTTTTGTTGATGTATTTGGAAGAAGTAGTATGTAGTTGAATATTTCTTTCATATGAAGGTGTTCCACTGCAGGGTTGGTCCTTGCTTAATTTTTCCGTCCTTCATAGACAGCATAAGCGGTACTTAATTTAATTTTAAACCAGTGAAAGTTTTTTGAAATTGACAATCATTTTTAAACAGAAATGCGTATTATGTAAATGTAAAAATATCGAACAAAGACAATTACTATGTTCGACATAAGCTTAAAATATAATATTGAAGTTTAGATTTTGTCACTATCCATAACGCAAAAGATATGAAATATAAAATTCTCGAGCAAGGAACAAATTAGTCTTATGCCTGTCCTGAATCCTAAAGGCTTTAATTTTTAATTCCAGTACACATGGTCGTTGAATGTTCTTGACTTTTCTAATTTGCGTATCTTCGATTATTCTTACTGATGCGCTTAAAGCGTCAGAGATTTTAAAGTAAGGGTTCTGATCGTAATTAATAGCTATAAGGTTTACTTTGGTAATTGCGTTCGAAATATTGATCAAAATATCTTTATCTGTATTTTATGCGAGTATTAAGTTAGTCGTTTAAAACATTAAAGTTTCTAATTGGTGTTTTATATTCCATATTCAAACTTCTTTACAGGATACGCCTGGAGATGGAACCGTTGGAAGACAATTTAAAATATCATCCGATATTTCCACAGATAGCACTGACTTACAGGTATTTTCCAAAAAAAAATATCAAGGCTGTCGGTTCTTTAATTAAAACACGCACGTCATTGCTTACTAATATAATTTCAACATTTACGTCAATAATTACAATTTAAAATTTTAGTTATAAAAACTGAAAGAGTCTTTGTTGGCATACGAAGTGTAGGCAGAGTTCTGTAGAAAAAGTAAATCATTTTTGTTTTAAGTGGCGGTATCTGAGAATAATTTATTTCTCAAAACTTGTTAAGGCTCCGTTTCAAATCAACTTTAGGTGAGGTTTTTGTTAAAATCATGAGAATATTATCATCATTTTACATAATATACTATGTATAATTGGGGTCTCCTTTTGAGTAAAAATTACATTTTGGTTGAGGGATGGTGCTGTCCCATATCCAAATAATTTTTTTTTTGAGATCAATTACATAAATAGTATATACGTCGGACATATAAACTAAAAAAAAACTATACGTAATGTAGAGAAAAAAATGTATTATTTGTAAATTACCAGATATTTCACCTAACAGAACTTGTCGCTATTTATCGTTTTTAGTTCTTATCTAAAGATATCTTATACGCCAATGTAACCCTTATTAAGACGAACGTAGTGCAAATTTTATACATTGTTGTGCGGTTTTGAAATTACCCACTTTTCGAAATGAAGTTACTAGTATGTAGTACATAATCTACAAGCTATAACAGACAAACTTAAATGACGAGATCATTATTTCGATTTTTTAAATAAGGCTACGGATCCCTAAAATTGTCGTTTAGTGGATTTTCGTACAGAGCGGAATATCATTTATAATAATCAAATAATGCGTCATAGAACTTGTTTGACTTAAATTTATTCAGAGTCAGGTGTTGTGACGACCTCACGCAATTGTAACATCATCGCGATTAATTCTTTTTATATTGGTGTTTATTTCAATTTACATATTAGTTTATTTGCATATTTAAATATATATATATAGGAGCTATTAATAGGTAACCTAGGTTTTTTTTGTGGTAAATAAACGATAAACATGAATGAAAAATCACTTAACGGGTGTGTCTGTCCATTGACACTTGATATGAGTAAAATTACTAATTATGATTTTATTGAAATCAAAGCGAGCGATAAAATTCCGAATGCTTGGTTATTTTATTAATTGAAGGTTTTTATTGCATAGTTGGGTGGACGAGTACACGGCTTCTCTTCTGTGAAGTATTTGCTGAAGCCCATAGACAACACTGACTGAATGCTGCCGCCCACTTTGAGACATGAGGTCTAAATCTCAATTGTGTAGTATAAAGGCTGTTCTACCCTTAAAACTGAAACAAGTTACTGTTTCGTGGAAAAAATGGTAGAACGGTGGCGCCTACCCGTGTCAGCTCACATGACGCCCTAGCACGATTTATTTATTTATATATTCATTTATTACACTTCATGTAAAATTTACATTGGCGGACTTAATATCTAAGGCATTCTCTACCAGTCAACCAAAGGTAGTGCAGAGTAAATAGTGGTAGGTATATATATTCATATATGCACAATCACATATACATACATAAATAGATACATTTATTTATTTATTTATTTTATTATTATTTGTGGTCATAGTTTAACAAAGATTAATAAGCTAATATTAATAAATGTATCACTATGTCCTGCTAGTAAAGCGTACAAATATTAGGTGTAAGTATAATCTACTATATATAAGTATAATATTTAGTGATTACCTAAATTAGAAATTTTACGGTTTTGATTTTTTTATTACACGCATTTATTCCTTCATCGTGGAAGTGATTTATATAATTATATATGCGTTAAGTATACATTGTATCTTATTAGAAAATTTTGTACCAGTTTGTAGGATTTGAAAACTGACATAGTCGCATCAATCGATAAAAGTAGACCGGGCGTCTTATCCTTTAGGCCACGACGACTTCCTGTTTAGAGATTACCACTGTTCGGCCAGAGATCAACCATAATCCCTGACATCTTAAAAATTTGGTTGATATTATGTACTGCATTGTCTGTTTTGATATGTTCCTGCTTTTTCTAAAGAGATAATCAAGCATTGAAGCTTGTCAACAGCTACTAAACAAACAAAAGAGAAAATCGTTTACAAACTCTTTTGTTTTTGTCTATTTATATATAGATTTAATTTTATAGACCTTTAGATTTGTTGTTGATTTAAACTGTTTAATAAACAATCAAACTCTAGTGATAGAGATCGTTAAGATTCAAGACGTTTTTTTTTTTCATTTCATAATCAAATATCTGAGCTTTCACAGTCAACTTCGAGTATGGCCACACAATCGGCGGATAATGCAGACGAAACGTGGCGCGGTGGGTACGCGACGGTTGCGACGCGAAGGAAGATAATGAACGCTTGCAGCTGGGGTAACGGCGTGCGGTGGGATCGAGCTGTGGGGAGAGTGGGTCAATGGGTGCGAATATATCCACATTTACTACCTAATGAAGACCAAGTAAGAAAATTAATCTCTAATTCTTAGTACAGTTTGAAGCATTTGTGACCTTCTTGATACGAACTATGCTTACATGCTATACAGCTAAAAGTAGTTATTATGAAAACTTTTATAGAAATGAAAAAAACTGTTTTTTTTAGTTGAAGATCCAGATTCAAGTATGTATTTGTTACACTGTAAGATGCAGTATGATACATTAAAAAAAAAAAACTGTTGGTAGGGCGTTTTGTGAGTCCACACGGGTAGGTACTCCTACCCTGCCTGTTTCTGCCGTGAAGCAGTAATGCATGTAGGCTTGAAGGGAGGGGCGGCCTTTATGCTATAAAAACTAAGACTTAGAACTCATGTCTTATGGGCGACGGCATTAATGTGGTTAATAACTACAGGTTCTGGTGAACACATAGCACGAGGTGGCCCATGAGCTCCTCTACACATCTTAGTAAAAATAATAATAATAATCTACGTATGTTAGATCTTGTCCGATTTTTTTTAAATATATTATATTATAGTTGTAATAGTAATAGTGGAGATATAATTGCCTTCTTCGTTTTTAAAATTATAATGCACTGTCGATTGCACCTATAATTGAGGTGACATCTGCCATGTACTTTTGTCAGTTTTTCAATGTTTTTATTGATGAATAATTTATTGATATTATGTTTACGCAAACTTTATCAGTTATTTTAAATGATATATTTTATGTTTTTATTATATCATCATCGTCAACTTAGTTAGAGAAACCATTGCTAGGAAATACGCCTTCACTAGCTATTTTAGCTTATAAATAGCACTATAACTAAATAAATAACAGAATAGTCGAGAAAACTTGATTTCTATTACCAGATTTCTCTAATCCTATCTGCAATTAGATTTTCCTTGCTAGTTTTCAATCTCATGGAATAAGATAAATGTTATTTCACCATATTTGCATGTTGCAACAGCGTCTAACAAGAATGTTGTAAGGCGTAACCTTACCTTATTTTGTACTAGCAGTAGTAGTGCTTAGAAGACGAACATTGACGGCTTTGGTGCCAAAAATAATGTAGATTTATAGATTAAATTTGGACAGGTCCCGATGGAGGATGCCCGTGAAAGTGTCGCGCACGTTTCCAAATTCATTCGGGCAGCGCGTGAAGTGAGCCGTGATAGCGGAGGCGATGCCGCTATCCGCGATTCAGCGCGTGACTCTGTTTTCGAGGCCGCACTCCGAAGGAAGCTACAGTATGGCGCGCATTTTGAAGTGTGGCATCCGCCATTTTGATGTGATTAATGTTTTAAAATAAAAATAATGTATGTATAATAATTTAATGTACACAGAAAATTACATGTGTTAATAAATGCTTGCTCAAATCTTCCTTTTTTTTATGATTATTATTTTGTAGCATATTTTTTTGTGAACTTGTTCCAAGATCACGCTACAACAAACTTACCTGAAAATTGACCGGTAAATTTTACATTTGTCTCGAATCGTTCTCCTGTGTTACGTATACTAAGCATATTTACCATAAAAGAATAAGTGCACATTGCCCATCAAGTATCGGAACCTTAATATATTTCAAAGTGGTACTAATAAAATGGTACTGATACAATGAGGCGACTGATATATTATTATACATAGCTTTGTATAAGCACATATTAATTTCTTACACGCGCAGTGGATTTCGTTGAGCGTGTTCCGCACACGATATTTCCCGACCCTGCTACGTAAGGTCAGACATTCTATTTACAGCTTTTCAAATTGTGTTCAGTGCATAAGATGCAAACGTTTTAGGATAAGATTTCTTACAATAATTCATTTAAAATTACAATCGAGATGACAAAACGCAAAGAAAAAAAAAANACATATTAATTTCTTACACGCGCAGTGGATTTCGTTGAGCGTGTTCCGCACACGATATTTCCCGACCCTGCTACGTAAGGTCAGACATTCTATTTACAGCTTTTCAAATTGTGTTCAGTGCATAAGATGCAAACGTTTTAGGATAAGATTTCTTACAATAATTCATTTAAAATTACAATCGAGATGACAAAACGCAAAGAAAAAAAAAAACAAATAATATGTAGTAATATAGATTTTATTTTAATGAAAACAATTAGTAGAAATATACGTATTTTATTAAAATGTTTAAAAAAAAAGTTACATTACGTGTCAGTTAAAGACGTTTTACTGATAGAATTTTAAACAAAATCGTTATTAAAACTATTCCCATGGTAATAATTGAACTCACAACAGAAGCATGTAAAAATGATGCAATTGAATTATTTATCTTTTCTAGCTTTCGTAATTAAGGTGGTCGAAATTATGAAGAAACTCATAGGCGGTAATTAAGCATAATTAATTAGTCGAATTAGGCAGTAGACGTAACAATTATTTGGTACCCTCTGTTATTTACCGAAGAGCATTCTCCGAAAATGGACGAGCTAATTGAAATACGTCCGGGCGATTCTTTTAAATTATTGTACAAAGTTCTCTGGTGGGTGGGATTTTATAAGCCAATACAGAAACCGACGAATGTCATCAAAAGATATTCTCATCATATATATCGAGTAATGGCCTTTATGGTGGTGGTATGTTTTAATTTGCAACATCTGCTATTCATAGTACAGGTAAGGTCTTAGTCGAAGAGGCTAGCCCACTGAGTTTCTCGCCGGATCTTCTCAGTGGGTCGCGTTTCCGATCCGGTGGTAGATTCTGCGAAGCACTGCTCTTGCTAGGGTCAGTGATAGCAACTCTCCGGTTGAGCCCCGCGAGCTCACCTACAAACGTTAGGGCGAAGCTGAAATAGCCTCTCAAGGCTATCAGCATAGGTAGAAAAAAAAAAAAAGTCAAAGAGTAGGCAATATCTTCAATTGCATTAGACGGGTTAACGTGCTCATTTGGTGTTGCGTATCTAAAGAAGACCATAGACATCACAACGTGGACTTCGGTTACCCATACGGGGATGCGAGGCCAAATTATTCATTGGATTATTTAATGACTGTTCTTTGTAACTGAAATACATGACTACGGCAGAAATAGGCAGGGTAAGGGCAGTTAATAAGAGCTCAGAAAACGCGAACTATTTTGAAATGTAATTTTTGTTTGTTTTATTTTGTATGGTTTTTTTTTTAATTTTAACATTTATGTTTTCGTTTGTATTGCATGCGTATGTATTGTTATATATTGTACATTTTTTTCAAGAATCTGTCATCAGTTTCAGTTTCAAAAATGTTGTACCGGATAATTTTATCCGTCCCTCAGAAACATAGAATGGGACATAGATTAGACATTATTTCGACGTCCATATTAAGAACCCCCAACCGATATAATATATATATATATATATATATATATCTAATATATCGATAATATATATACCTATAAAATACACATAATATACATACACATAATATAGGTATATACATATACTAGCAATCCGCCCTCGCTTCGCTTCGGGAACTGTAATTTGTTATTGAACTTATTGAATTTTCTATCTTCATCTTTCATAATATCGCGCACTTGGTTGTTTATCGTCATAACTATTCAAGCATTTGTCCAAATGATGTAGTTTAAAGGACAAAGTTTATTTACTTAAAATACCGGAAACGACAAAATAATTTATTTGGATCTAAGGCTCAATTTGTTACTACCAATGTGCGTAAGAAATAAATTATCAATTTTTATTGTATTTATGGTTCACTATTTTGGCGATAATGGCTTACGCATAAAAGATAGATATGTTTATGCTGTCTTGGACTTTTTTATAGGATTATTTAAGATAAACATTTCCATATTACATTATATACGTGTTGCTCTAACGGTTTTTGCGGCGCACTCCAGAATATCTCGCAGATGGCTGATTTTTTTCCTACTTACTAGACACTCATCACTACATTTTGTGTAATTCACGCTATATCTTTATAAATTATAGACTATGTGTATTATTCTGATTAGTAAGCTATATTATTATAAAGTTTCATCAAAATCCATTCAGTAGTTTTTGCGTGAGAGAGTAACAAACATGCATCTTAAAAACTTTCGCGTTTATAATATTAGCAGGATAGGATTATAGGATAATTATTTTGTGATTTAATTAGTCGTAATACTATTTCCAGTTTGATCAGGACAGCCGTAAGCGGTTAGAAGGCATGATGACGGAGATTCCTCAACTAAATTTATTTTTGAAATGTATTAATTTGAATCTTCGGAGCTCCAGAGTGGACCATCTTCATGAATTGTTAAATGGTAATTGTCGCATTAATAGTTTCTTATTGTATTTTGTTAGACATGGCCCGCGGATTCGTTCACATTACTTAAAGAGGGGTGAAAGGCTATTTGGTTTAAGCGACATTTCTCTTAATACGCGACATTTATATTTGTAATTGAAGGTTCGTTTTATTTGGTATTAGCATCAACAATTGTTTTTAATTGAACTTCAATTTTGTTTACCCTATTCAAACAAACAGCTGAAGATTTTTTTTCATGATATTTTTTCCAAAATTTAAACTTTTTTTTGTTGCTTAGATGGGTGGACGAGCTCACGGCCCACCTGGTGTTAAGTGGCAACCGGAGCCCATAGACAACTACAACTCTTAAATGCCGCTACTCACCTTGAGACAAGAGTTCTAAGGTCTCAATTGTAACAGTACAACGGCTACGCCAACCTTCAAACCGAAACGCATTACTGCTTCACGACAGAAATAGGCAGGGCGGTGGTACCTACCCGTACGAATTCACAAGACATCCTACCACCAGTAATTATGCGAATCATAACTATGCGGGTTTGACTGTTATTACACGATGTTATTCCTTCACCGTGGAAGTCAGCCGTGAGCATTTGTTAAGTACGTATTTCATTAGAAAAATTGATACCCGCCTGGAACACCGTTCGCACTCATGATGCGACGATACCTAGGGGATCTAGTAACTACCAGTGCACTTAGCTAGCTGCATTTGTAATTTGGTTACCAAATACTAAACAATACCAAAATATTTTTACTTAATAATAAAACTTAAAACACTCCGTTGACTATTATTACAATATGTTTATGTAGATTCGTAGGCATTATATTTATATATGTACATATGTAAGATAATTTATTATTTGATTCTCAGATCCGATATTCGCAGCAAAAACTTTGAAGGACAAACAACATCTGATACAGAATAAGAAGGAAGTCACACGATTCGCGAGACTCTTACTAACCTATGTCACAGTTGGTGGTTTCATTTGGCCAATGTCCTTATGTTTTCGGCGAATTAGAGACCCCAATACAGTTGTACCTTTTTACGTCCCGTTCACGCCAGATAACTGGACGAAGTAAATACGTTTATGTTAATTTTAGATTGTATTCAAAGTCGCTGCCTATATAGCTGAGGACACATTTCAGATTTAGATTTGCAGAAAGACCTGTTATAGCGCTCGGAAAACACTGTGGAGGGTAGTTCATTCCTCAGCCAGATAAACCGATAACTACCAAAAATGATAGCTAGTGGTGAGTAGGTAAACCTGACTGAATTATATCAAAGAATTCAGCAGAATGCTTCCGAAGTTTCCAGGTCTGCAGGGGGCGGAAGCGGGTTAAATAAATATTAAAATTTCTCATACGGCATGTACAATCCCGAATTGTCCGGTTGTAGTTCAGCTAATGATCTCACTGTCTATCTGCTGTCAAGTGGTTTTGGAAGCTCATGGACAACACCAAATGAATCACTCGCTGGGGTCGAAGTTTTATTTATATTGTATAACAGCTGTCTCAGGTTGATAGAAATAGGCAAAGTGGTTGTACGTATGCATGCTCAACAATAAATCACCAGTAGTTATTGTAAGTAAGCTGGTACTGCACGATGTTTTTTTTTAGATTTCTTCTGCAACTCTTTATGCTCTGCTTTCCGATATTCTGGGTCGGCTATGGACATGTCACATTGGATTGCCTTATTGTGACATACTACGCACAAGCGCAGGTTCAGCTGAAAATTATTAAGTACAATTTAGAGAATTTGTTTGAATCGAGAAAAAACGATGAACGAATTTCAAATTCTGATGTTGATGTTAAGAATCGCTTTTTGCATTACGTGAAACGTTTCGATAAAGTAAATTGGTAAGTAGAATTAAATACAATGAACGCTAAATTTTAATGTCAAATTTAATTGTATACCAGTATTACACCCCTTGGGAAGGAAAATAAGAAAAGCCTCAGATCACATGTAATTGTTGGCCGAAGCGAAGCCGAGGTCGACAAACATGTGATCTGAGGTTTATTTTTTTATTTTCCAAGGGCTGTATACTATTTTTTTGGTCCGACAAAGGCGGAAAGCGGCAACTTTGTTTAGCGCAGCGGGACGAAAGTTGCCACTTTTCGCCCGGAGGGAAAAAAGTAATTATGTTAATTTAAGATTGACTTAAATCAATCTCTTCTGGACAGTAGTGTTAAAAATTATTTAAGTTCGTAAAATTTTCTTTCAGGCTCATAAACGAGGTCACCGACATTTTCAATCCATGTCTGACATTTCAGTTTTTCACGTCATCTGTCGCGATATGTATGGTGATATACAAATTGAGCGATGTAAGAAAACATATCTCTCTAGCCATGCACAATTCACTTCATAACACCACATTGTTTTTTTTAATCGACTTAAAAAAATGGAGGAGGTTCTAAGCTCACTTGTTTTTTTTATGCGTGTTGCCTCAGAACTTTTTTATTTGAAAGTTTGTGTTTCTCATGTGATCTCATTTAAATTTTAATCACCAGTACTTTTTGAATTATTACATAATAATGCATAAGAATTGTCTTCGGCTACATTGATGATTTTATTTCGTTGAAGTCGATTTCCTTTTTTTCTTCTTCAAATTTTGCTTTTTTGTGACATTATGAAAGCCTCAATTGCGTTATGGCCAGATTGGCAGTGTAATTAAACGCCATCTAGCGCCAGTGTGGTGTAACAGTTTTGAAACAATCAAGGCGTTAAAGTACAGTTTTTAAAATTAATTCTCATACAATCATATAAAGACTCCATGTTTGATTTTGCCTGGCAGCATGCTTTGTGCGTGTAAATTTTTTTTTTATTGCTCTTGTAGGCAGATGTGCGTACCTGACTACGGCCCACTGGTGGTGAGTGGTTACCGTCGCTCATGGACTTCAGTAATGCCAGGGGCAGAGCAAAGCTGCTACCTACCGAAAGCCAAGCCGCTGTCTCCGGTCTCCGGTTTGAAGGGTGGGGCAGCCGCTGTAACTATAATACTTGAGACCTTAGAACTTATATCTCAAGGTGAGTGGCGAATTTACCTTGTAGATGTCTATGGGCTCCAGTAACCACTTAAAACCAAGTGAGCTGTGAGCTCGTCCACCCATCTAAGCAATAAAAAAAATCACTTAACTTCAGGACGGCCGTCTTCTTAAGATATGATGAGCACAATCACTGCCACCTCAAGATTTATATTTATTTTATTAATTTTTTTTTTTTTAATTCCTCACTTTTAAACTAGTCAATAGCTACATAAATATAACAAGAAAATTTATAATATAAATAAATATGTAATATAATAAATTTATAAACTAAAAAAATATAACAAGAAAATTTTGTATTTGTATTCATATTTAGACCGATATAATACCTACACTTTTTTGTTCAAATTCTAAAGACTTTTCCATGTTAATGTTAGTGCATTATTTTTTCTGTTGCAGACCTACATTGTGTCCTTAGAATTTGTGTTTCTGTTGAATTTTATATTCGTATTGTTGACTCAAATGTTTATATACTGCTATTACGGTAACGTTGTGAGCTACGAGGTGAGCATTTTTTTAATACGTTTTTGTTAACTTCGCCTTTATATTTGACACGGAAAACAATCAGATTACATTAAAACTTTAGCAAAATTACTTAGAACCCGTGACAATACTATAATTTAATAAGTTTATTGTATTATGCTGACCATCTCAATTCTACTGGAAGCTAATACCTGTTATCAGTGTGAATTTCACGATAATTAAAATAAATTTACGACAAATGTAATTAACTACAATTATTTTTGTGTTTGTTAGTTATTTTTTTATTGCTTAGATGGGTGGACGAGTTCACAGCCCAACTGGTGTTAAGTAGTTACTGAAGCCCATAGACATCTACAACGTAAATGCGCCACCCACCTTGAGATACAAGTTCTAAGGTCTCAGGTATAGTTACAACGGCTGCCCTACCCTTCAAACCGAAACGCATTACTGCTTCACGGCAGAAATAAGCAGGGTAGTGGTACCTACCCGCGCGGACTCTCAAGAGGTCCTACCACCAGTAATAAAATTGCTGCTTTTTGTTTGTTTTTCTGTTCAATCTTCAAATTTAGATATGCTTAATGTTAATTTTTTTCAGAGCAAATACATAAATACTTCCTTGTATTTGAGTGATTGGTCATCAGCCTCGCTAGGAGTCCGCAAAATGTTTCTAATCGCGATGCCGCGGTGGACGAGACCGCTGGTAGTGCGAATTGCTAGAGTCGTACCCCTATCTTTGGATAGTTTCGTTTCTGTATGTAAATATAAATGAAGTATTGAACATTTTATTTATTCGCACGTTAAAAAGGCCAGAGCTGGGGATATTTTTTCGAGAGCCAGCAACAAACCCTGATCCCAGATAGTATATATCTTTCTCGAAGATTTTTTTACGTATTTAAGTATATTTACTTGAACTGAAAATCGAGAACTGGTTCTCTGGTATAGCTCAAAATAAGTATCAGATTAGAATAATAGGTTTGGCGACTTAAAAACCTTTTTTTTTTAGTAGCAGAGTAGTTTTAAACTTTAAAATTTAAAGTACATGTAACACCTAAACAACTATCTATTTTATAATCAGAGTATTATAACTGAGTTAGTGGAAAAATTTCGATATAAAATATTTAACAATGTATATAGATTACATTTAACAATGTATTAGATATACTAGATCTTCAGGTACCTTGTTGAAAATGGGTGTACCTCAGGGTTCCATTTTGGGTCCTTTTTTATTTCTAATATATATAAACGATTTACCTAGTTTTATTGAATCCCGACACGAGGTCGTATTATTCGCAGATGATACATCTTTATTATTTAAAATTAAACGACAATTACAAGTCTATGACGAAGTGAATGATGCGATTTCGTGTGTGGTTCATTGGTTCCGTATCAATAACCTATTATTGAATAGTAAGAAAACTAAATGTATTAAATTTACTTTAAAATGTATTAAACCATCTTTAAATGTGAGACAAGTGGATAGTGATGTAATTGTTTCTGAGGAATCATTGGAGCTTGTTGAGTCAACCGTATTTCTTGGTATAACAGTGGACTCCAAACTGCAATGGGGACCTCATATTCATAAATTGGCGAGTAAGCTCAGCTCTGCAGCATACGCAGTAAAAAAAATTAGAATGTTAACAAACGCGGACACGGCTCGTTTAGTTTACTTTAGTTACTTCCACAGTGTCATGTCCTATGGCATTTTGCTATGGGGCAATGCGGCCGATGTAGAAACGATATTTATTCTGCAGAAAAGAGCTATACGCGCTATTTATAACATGCACTCAAGGGAATCCCTGAGGGAGAAATTTAAAGAAATTAAAGTTCTCACTATGCCATCCCAGTACATTTTTGAAAATTTGATGTATGTTCGTAAACATATTGAGGAGTTTCCTAAAAAGTCGGACATACATAATAGAAATACTAGGAACAAACACAAGCTTGTTGTGCCGATGAGTAGGTTACATAAGATACGAAATTCATTCGGGTGTTTGTCTGTGCGCCTGTACAACAAAATCCCACAAGATGTTCAGAACCTACATATACATAGGTTTAAGAAAACTGTTAAAGAACATCTGTGCAATAAAGCTTACTATAAAGTCAATGATTATCTAGAAGATTGCACAAAGTGGGAATGAGTTGCTCGCTCCGGGCATTTCAATATTGTAGTAATTGTAACGTTATAATACTCATTGTAAAAAACTCATATTTAAAAAAAAAAATGTAATATTAAAAAATTAATAAATAACAATTTATTAAAAAAAAAAAAAAATGCCCGCTGAGTTTCTTGCCAATTCTTCTCAGGACGGAGGCTAGTTCTTGTGAATTGGCGGTAGTTCTTTTGACGTTCAACAAGTATGTACTTTCATTTATGTTGAATAAATTTTTTTTGATTTCATTTGATTTGATATATATTTTTCGTTGTAATAGAGTGGTAAATGAGTTCATGAGACTTTTGGTGTTAAGTGATCCCGGGAGACCGCAGAAATCGTTTTGAAGAAACTTTAAAACCGCCACGCAGCTTGCGATAAACCTAAGCCGCTCAATATACTTGAACTTTAATTTGGGATAATTGGTTTAAGCGACGTTTTTGTAACTTAACAAGACAGCTATTTAAAGGTTGAAATTTGGAAAAAATATGATAACAAAAAACTTCTTCAGCTATTTGAACGCGGTAAATTTAATTGAAGTTCAATTAAAAACATCGAATTGTTGATTCTAATACCAAATAAAAGGCATATTTAATTACAAATAGAAATGTCGCGTATTAAGCGGAATGTCGCTTAATCTCTAAATAGCTTTTCACTCCTCGATTTATATAATTATTAATAAAGATTATTTTAAAATTCTATGATTTAAAGTTAATAAATGTTATTGTTTATTTTTTCAGATAGTCAAATCGTCATATACTTTGTATACAATATTAGTAACAAGCAACAGCATCGCGTCAGAAGAGGCAATAATGTAAAAATGCAAAATTCACGTCATTCACGTCATAGACGTTGTATGAAAAACAAACTAGCTGTTTTAGTAATAGACTTAAAACATTCATTATGACTGTTGAACAATTTTAAAGAAGATAATGCACAATAATAAATTATTCACGATCAAGTTTTGGTATAATTTTTTTCTAACATATAAATATGGACATTTGCGCGCAATTTAATCGGCAATTGAGATTATTATAAAGGATTATTATATGAGTTTTTTTTCTTAGATGGGTGGACGAGCTAACAGCATACCTGGTGTTAATTGGTTACTGGAGCCCATAGACATCTACAACGTCAATGTGCCACCCACTTTGAGATATAAGTTCTAAGGTATAGTTACAATGGCTGCCCCACTCTTCAAACCGAAACGCATTACTGTTTCACGCCAGAAATAGGCAGAGTGGTGGTACCTACTCGTGCGGATTCACAAGAGGTCCTACTATCAGTAAAGCGTATTACAAATAGTTTCTTAATTAGTTAGTACACAATGATAGCTACAGTAAAGCTCTGAAAAAAATTTGAATGGGAAATATCGTTACAACGCAACGTGCACAATAAGTGAAACTCGTGATCGTGGAGAGTAAAAAAACTAATCACATATGACACGGTGATATTTCGCGTGAGTACTGAAATTTCCATTTGGCTTCGGAGCGTTTAAAGAGCATTGAATGGGGTCCATTGTGCTATGGCTATTGTGTTTTTCTATTGACCGAGGCTCATACGAGAAATGGCCGTGCAGTTCATACACTTCCATTACTGCAATCGCGTTGCGACTGAAAAAGCCGGATTGGTTATTTTAATTGAGCAGAGAGCGAACAATTGGACTTGGTACTGTCCTTTTCGATTTTACGTTTGACATTTTAGTTACTGTTGATTATAAGGCAGAAATCACGTCGGCATTACGGCGTGTTAAGCATTTAATGATCCATTAAAAAGGTTAGTGTTAAAATTGAAGAATATTTTACCGTTACTACTTTATGGTTCGATATCGCATTTTTTTGTTACCGTTATATTATTTCTAGCATTTTAAATACGTTACAGTTTTCGTGGTCACATACGACTAAGGTTCACACAGAACGATATGATACGTTCGAAAGGTGGGGCAGCCGCTGTACTTGAAAAACTGAGACATTAGAACTCATATCTCAAGGTGTGTGGCGGCATTTACGTTGTAGATGTCTATGGCGTCTGGTAACCACTTAACACCAGATGGGCAGTGACCTCGTCCACCCATCTAAACAATAAGTAAAAAAAGTCTACTTTTTTTGTAAGTAGACGGTAGCTAGCACAATATTTGAATAAATAATAATAATAAATAAATAAATATTTACGAACAATCACGCCACGTTAACTGGTCCCGTGATAAGTTCGTAAAGAACTTGTGTTACAGGTACCAGATAACGGAAATAAATGTAAGATTTTTATTATACACATACATATATTTAATATACATCCATAACCCTGGAAAATACATTTATATTTATTATACAAATATCTCCCCTTGGCGGGATTCGAACCCGCGACCCCCTAGTGTAGTGACCATGTCACTTACCACTACACTACTGTTTGGATTTCATCAAAGGAAGAATACGCTTTATCTGTCAGTATATTTGAGCTACTCGCATGGAATCTGGATAGATTAGACCATTTTATATATCGTTTCACATATTATGTTCTATTCGTTATGGGAACTCCAAATTCGTTTTGTCAAAATAGCTGCGTATTAAGATGGGCGTAGAAGGGCGGATTGATTTGCGATCGTAGTTACTAGTTCACTAGTTCATAGTTAACTAGCTCTTTAAACTAAAACATCCAATACTTATTCTTATCAATCCACAGCGATATTGCATTGTCTACTATTTCTTGAAAATAAAATAAAAAAAAGTTTTGATACTGAAGCTTTAATAATAGACGATTGTATTTATTTTGAATTACCATTATATACAGACGAGTATATTGTCTATTTGTGCTGTGCTTTTTTGTTATTATTGTTGTAGTAATTCGTAGCTGCAATTAAATGTGAGCTTATGGTCAATCTAGTGCTATGCAACTACAAGAGCTCATAGACAGATAAGGGTCAATATCGTCGTGGTTATATGAAGAAGAAATACCACAAAAATACACACGACAGTTTCACAGTAGACGCGTATTAAAACTCTTGAAAAAAATATATACGAATTTCAAATATTTAGTGAATTTAAAATTTTAATAATATAATATGTATTTAAAAATGCTAGTTTGAAATTACGCGAGGCAAACGTGTTTATTAAAACAAGCGCGAGCTTAAATTACAATGGGGTTCGGAACTCATGAAAACCTCAGAAAACATTGTGTCTTGCCTTGCCCGCCTATCCCCAGGTCAGGAACAACAAATAATTCTTAAGATCAATATCCTTTGTGCAATCTTCAGTGAACACGTATAATATGTGAGGGCAGTAAATCTCTGGAGGCTCTCGGAGCCAGGATTAGATAAGAACGCGTTATTGAACCGTACATCTTGAAAGCCACACGCGGCCTATACCTACATAGAGCGTTGTTGCAAACGTATGACCGGTAAGACGGCAACTCAGAAATGTTTGTACAGTTTAAATAATTCAAGAATGTGTTTTTGTCGATGAATAGGCTTACTGCAGTGGCGCTTACCGAATAGGGACAACTTACTCTGAGCTTGTTGACTTTTAAAACTATTGGCAAATACCATGTCATTTTGTCCGCGCGGGTGGGTACCACCACCCCGCCTATTTCTGCCGTGAAGCAGTAATGCGTTTCGGTATAAAGGGTGGGGCAGCCGTTGTAACTATACTTGAGACCTTAGAACTTGTATCTCAAGGTGGGTGGCGCATTTACGTTGTGGATGTCT